CTTCCTTGTGCCCGAGCTCCCTCATCTCAGCTCCTCTTTCCTTTCTCCCATCCATCTTGGGGGCTCCCTGCAAATTCAGTGATTTCAAGTTACAGGGAAGGAAAGGAAGAGAGGCAAAACATATCAAATGGAGGCAGAAAAAAAGGGACAGAGTCAATGTAAATAGGGAAGAAAGAGAGTCACAGACGGACAGAGTCCAAGCCCAAGACAGAAAGCACAACAGAGGCAGAGGCCCAGTGAGACAACAGGGCTGGAGAGAACAGGAAGACTGGCGGATTCAGAGGTATTGCAAGAGTGAGGCTGGAGGCTGAGTGGGCAGCAGGGGAAGGGGTGTGCTGGAGCTGGCCTCATTCCGGTTCTGTGGCGCTGCTGCAGGAGAGAGTCCCCTCATTATGCAAATGGCCTCGGGGGTTACCATAGAGGGACATCTGCTTGGTCCCCCAGTGGGTGGCTGGCGCAGGACTTCCAAGAGCTGCAGGGCTTCCAAGAGCCAGCAGCCATCCAGAGACAGCAGGACCCCAGCCCTCCCACCCCCCACCCCAGTTCTCAGCCTCAAGGCCCATTCCTTCCAGTCCTAATCCCCTGTTCCTGGAGGAGGCCTCCAGGTGAATCTGAGAGGAAGGGTGAGCGCTGAGGGAGGAAAGGAGGCAGCCGAAGGGAAGAAGGGCTGTGTGAGGCTGGGGTGAGGTGGAGGAGGGGCGCAAGGGCCCTTTGGGGTCTCCAAGGCAGCTGAGAGGAAAGTAGAAGGCAGTCGCCTCATCACCAACAAGCCTGCCAGCCAGGACAGCTGGGAGAGGAGGGCCCGGGTCTCCATCACTCCATACTTCCCTGTTCCTGGTCTCCACAGCCTTGTTTCTAAAAGGCAGAAGGCCCTGTCCCTGAGTGGCCGAGGCACCGGCTGGAGCAGAGAGGATGCTGGGCCTCACACAGTCCACGCCCCGCCAGCACCCCACATCTCCCGCATGCCTGGTTTACTTTCTTCAACCTGGACTTGAGCATTAGGGCAGGGATGAGGCCAGTAACAGAGAGGGAGAAGCTGGGAAATTAAAGAGGGAATTGGAGACTGGGAGAGACTGCCAGCATACGGAGAGACGGGGCCTTGAAGTACTGAAGGGCATTGGGGTCCTTACTGAGCACGGTGAGTTTGGCCCGCCGGGAGCGCAGGGCGGCCTCTGTGGCCTGGCACTCGTAAGAGGCGTCGTCAGAGAGCTCAGCATCTGTGATTTCCAGGTTGTACTGCCCAGCGTCTGCGGAGCCCACGACCCGGTACCGTGGCCAGGCTGCAGAAACAGAAAGAATGAGGCCCAACCTTGAAACAAGGACACATCCTCAGCCATCCCACACCAGTATTCCTCCCTCTGCCCTCTTCTGGGACACCACTGGCAGGTGAGAAGGTGAGGCACCAGACACAGACACCTGATGCCACGACACCCCACGGCGAGGCTGGGAGCCATATAGCCGGAGGAGCGGACAGGAGGGCAGCTGAAGCAGGGAGACCAGCAGGAGCAGATGAAATCTCCAAGGCTGTTTGCAGACAAATGCCTCTCATAATAATAGGAGAGAAAAAGGCACACAGCAGGGAGCAAAGGAGAGGGGGAGAGAGGGAGAGCAAGTGTGTGGGCGCCAGGAAATATAGGGCATCGCAGCACAGACATGAGCTCACTGGAGCACCTCTGCGGGACTCATAAGGCAGAGGGAAGCCCAAGGCAGACCCAGGGAGGAAGGATGAGGCAGGGGCCCGCCGGCTCCCTGGAGAAGCCCGTAAACGAAAGAGTGCTGGTTTCCTGCAGAAGCAGTGGCTGAGGCAGTGGGCCTTGCCCTCCTTCCTCCAGGCTCCCTCACCGGCTTCTTGCTTCCCAGCCCACCCCTCACGTTCCCACCATCAGCTCCTTCCCATGATCTCCCTCTGTCCAGAGGCTATCGATTCTTCTCACTCCATATCTATTGATCTCACTCTCTCTCCCAGTTTCTTTCTCTTTCTATCATCGATAGATCTACCAGACCCATCTCTTTTCCTTATATGGATTGCTCTACACAGACAAATTTCCCCTACCTCTACTAACACACGGAACTCACAGCAAATAATCTCAACTCCCTCAACAATAATAAGAATAAAAATACACAGCCCATCCCCCACACCCATACTTACTTCATTACAGTTCTTTAAAGCTAAAACGTGTTTTTATAAATCTCTTCTCTCATTTGGCTCAAAACTCACAAATGCACTTCTAAGGCAGACAGGCCTGCAACCACTATGCCTGTTTCACACATCAGTAAATGAAGGTCCAGAGAGGTGAAGTGGCTTTCCTAAGGTCACCCAGCTGGCAGGTGGTGGAGGCAGGACTAGAACCCAGGTGTCCACTCTGCCAGGCAGCCTTTCCAAGGGTCTCTTTACTTGCTTTAGAATATAGGAGGTTGGTTTTATTGTGTTTGACTGACTCATTATGTTTGCTTCAGCACCAGCTACATAGCCAGTTCTTAATAAAGGCTTGTTGAATGAATAAATAAATGAATGCTCAGGCTGATATTAAAATGAGTTTTTGGCCTCTGAGCAGACATCGCCTGGGCAGCAGGGAGGAGAGAGGCTGGAGCGGAGCCAGGCTGGCATGAGACACTTGCGGGACACAGAAGTTGCCTGTGCCCTCTCCTACCCTTGCTGCAGACTCTGGAGTCTCCCAGCACCTCCTGCTAGATGACTGTCTGCCTGCAGCGCCCCTCACGAGATCTGTGTCTGGTTGAAGCTATCTTATATAAAGGTCTCTTGGTTTCCCTTGACCTCTCAGGTTTGTACTGCCTTCCTCAAGTCAGTCCTCGGTGGCAGGAAAGGCAGAGCTGCAGGGTGGGAAAGCTATAGAGATGGAGCTCAGTAGCAGAGACAGAGGGGAGGCTGTGGCACAGAGAAGGGTGGTGAGGGAACTAAGGGATGGTGAGTCCAGGAGTCTATGCTGAAAGTGGGGAATGGCGGAGAAGATGGGATAGTTTGGACGTTGGGTAGCCAGCCACTCACCTTTGAGGCCCTGTCCCATGCCCAGGGCCAGTCCGTCCTTGGTCCATTGCACAATTCCAGAGTAGTTGAGCAGCACACAGGGGAGCACGGCCCTCTGTCCGGCCACCACCGTCTGGTCAGCCGGCTCCTGGCTGAAGCGGGTCTGGGTCCCTGCAAAGCCAAAGCTGGCACTGGGTAAGATGAGTAAGGAGAGGGGCTCCTCTAAGAGGTCCCGCTCCCCATGCAGGAGGAGGGAGGGAGAGAGCCTCCAGTTGGGGATGGGGACTCTCTGGTCCCTGCCCCCCTTCAGCCTCAACTCCTTTGTTCTAAGATGCCACGTCCTCATCCTTTATTCTTTCCTCCCTTTAAGGCCCATGGGAATGGAGTTCAGAAGCTAAAGTGCTCAGCAATCACACAGAAAACGGTGCACTGTTATATAAAGGCCTTAGAAATAGGCCTAGTCCAACCCTCTCCTTTTACAGAGAAGGACCCTGAGTTTCAGGGAGGAGAGCAACTTACTCAAGGGCAAGTTAATGACAGAGCTGGGATTAGAACCTGAGCCCCTGCATCCAGGTCCTGGCCATTCCTCTACTACCCACTGCACCAGCCCACCCCCACATTAATGACTCCTGTTTAGACATGTGTCATGTGAGCTGATGGGAGTCATTGTGAACCAACACACACATGCAACTATGCCACGTCCAATTCCTCCATGAAAACATCAGGGTAGATACTACGGAGCCGGCATGTCCACACGTGCGTATGGAAGCTTCCTGGGTGGAAAGTGTATCCAAAACAAAGTAGCTCTGAACCCACTTCTTGGCACATGTGCCCTGCTCCGTGTGTTCATCCTTTGCTTCCAAGTGCAGGGGGCCCTGAGTGTGTACACATGAACACACCTGCACACACCCCGCCTCCCTCACCGTGGGAGCTGAGCAGCCACGTGACTTTGTTCCACTCTCCCTCCGGCTGTGGGAGCTACACATGGCTGCCCGGCTGGCAGCTCGGCCGGGAGCATTTGATTAGAGAACTGCAGAGTAATTGCCTTTAATTGTGGAGCCTAAATGGAGCAGGGAATTGCATTGCGGGTTTTTTCTCCCCACCACTCCCACCCGCCGGTTCCAACCAGCACCGGTCGGCCCCAGTGGTGGGGCAGGCCTAGGCTCCTTGCAGAGCTATGTGAGCTATGGGGCTCAGCTTCCTTTGCCAGGTTGTGGGGAAAAAAGAAGGGGGACAAGAGAGTGACTGGAGGACAGCAAAGGAGAGTTCTGGGACTTCCTTGCCATGCTCCCAACCTGTCACACCAGGTAACTGAAATCAGCTCTCCCCAAAAGTCACAGCCTCCTCCTTCTTCTTTCCCTCCACAGCTCATGAACCTGCACAGAGGCCACAATCCCCAAATCTGACCTTTTCCTAACACAGCTTTCTAAAATTTCTCTGACCCATCATCCCTCCTGTGTGTAAGCAAACTTAACTCACCCCTCCCCACTCCAAGATCTCCCTCTAAGCCCCCACAGAAGTGGGATCCTAGTCTCGTCTCCTCCCTTCCTTTTTCTTCACCAGTCCCATTTCTCCTTTTCTTCCCAAACATGCTCTACATGTCCCTCTTCCAGGAAGCCCTTCTAGCCCCATTCCTTGGCCTCTTGGGCAAATGTAACCGGTCGCATCACTCAACCCTGCTGTCATCACTATGTACAGGGCTTCCTGTCTCAAACGATCAGGGGTTATGCCCAGCATTTTGTTTGTCACAGGATAGAGGGCAGCTGGTAAGTGAGGGCATTTGCCCTATCTGTTCCAGCAGAATGGGAACATATCCTCTAAGGCAGAGGGCCAAGCTCTCTTCTCCATCTGAATCTCCCTGAACATCCTACATCCATCACCATTGGTTGTTGCACACAAAGGGGTCTGAAAAAGAGGTGGCCGGGGCCTAGAGTGGACTGATAACCAGAATGTGATCTAGCATGAGACAGACCCTTTACTCTTGATTAAGTGTGCAAATTTATCTCCTTGGGTCTGCAGGGGCCAGGATGTTAGAAACAGGGTCTCCCATACTCCATGAGTGGCTCCTCAAGTCTGCTGACCTGATCTCTCATTCATGTCTTCTAAAGGATAATCCCTTTCGAGAGATCAGGGTGGCAGGTGCTGAGATCCTGGGGGAGGGGTGGGTCAGGTGAGCAGCCAACATTATTAATTCAAGCAATGCCCTCATTATTATTCAAATTTATTCATATCCTTGCGCATTTCTCTAGTGCAGCTACATGCTGCAAGCTCTCCACACTCACGTTTCTCCTTCCCATGCCCCCCGGAGCCCAAGTCAAGGGCTTAAGAGTGGGGTTGCTGGTCAGCCCTGGCTCAGAGGTGGAATTTATATGCATAGCTTTCCTGCATGGAGCCTGGACACCCTGGTCTCTTGCTGAAGTCTCTCAAGGACAGTGAGCAGCTGGCTCCTTGTCCACTTGGAATGAAGAGGAAGCTGACCCTGCGGCAAGATGGAGATGAGAAGCACTCGAAGTAAGAATCAGGAGACTGGGGTCTTGTGGAGGTGAGGAGTGGTATGACCTTGGGCGTGTCAATTCCTCATCTGGGCCCCCATTTGCTCACCTGCACAATGACAAGCCTGGACTGAGGAGTGCCAAATCCCTCTGTGCCCAAATACTAAGAGTATAGGTTTAGGAGACAGACTATGGTTTACATATTGCCTGTGTGGCTTCCTCACCAGTGACCTTGGCCAAGTTACTTGCTAAGCTTCATTTTCCTCCCTGGTAAACTGGGGAATGTTAATGTCTATTTCTGGATTGCCGTCAAAGTCAAATGAGATGAGGTGTATATTATGCTCGGTACAGTCCCTTGCCTATATGCACTAAATGGCAGCTATGATCATTATTTCTCCTGAGCAGTTAGACAGTTAGAGGGACAACTCGAAACCGGAACAGGAACATGACAAAGAAGTTGGTATCTGACTTTCTGGGAGTTTTGAAGTTTTCTCTTGGTTTAGGTCTGACTGAAGCAATTCAGTCCAGACACAGGGGGATGGAAGTAATAGCCCTGCAGAGAGTCCAGAAAGAGGGGGAAGTAAAGACATCTCGGGAATTTAATTCGATGGAAAGGTGGCCCTAGATCCTGAGCCTACTAAAGCCACAGGCAATGTCTTCTGGTCCCAACACAGCCCCTGCAGCCAACACAGAATCCCAAATAGAGTTCAGATGCCCCTGGGTTATGCCGACCTGGCTTATGATTACGGGAATGCCCCAAGTCTGCCCTCACCAAGTGCTGTTCTCTCTGATCTGTACACATTAGGCCTTTGTCACCTCTTCAAGCCCTTGTGCAGGCCTTTCCCTGGGGAGGACATTGCTCCCCTGCTCCCTTGGGATTGAAACAGTCACCTCCTCTGGGAAGTCTCCCGTGACTTTCGTGTAGACCCTCAAGGCCTTCCTACTCACGTCTCACTTCTGCTGTAGTAGGGCCCATACTGCACTGGTCTCCCCATTCCTGCTGGGCCCCAGGGGCGGCTCCAGGGGTCTGGACCATGTCACTCATAGTCAAGCCCATCACCAGGTGCAGGGCCTGCTGTCTGGTGCACTACAGGTGTTCCAAAAATGTCTGTTGACTGAGGGAGTGCGAGTGAGCAAATCTGAGTCCACGGTCCTGCCTGTGAAACCACCATCCAGAAAAGGAGGCAGAGCATGCCCCTGACCCCAGGGGAGGCGCACAGACTTCCACAGAGGCAGAGACAGGCCCGACTAGTGAAGGGGACAGAACCCTCCTCCCAGCAAGAGGAGGAACAATGCTGGGTGGAACTTGCAGTCGGTCCTGGGAAACTCCCTGAAAAACGGAACATGGAGCAGAGAAGGGAAGGGCAAGGGAAACAGGCTCTGGATGGTCCTGACATGTGGTGGTGGCAAGGGGGGTGTGGGAGAGCAGAGGAAGCCTAGAAAGTGAGCAGTGAGGTGCAGGCCTCAGACAGGGCATGGCTGCTCAGTTAGCAGGAAGGGGAGAGGGGACCCAGTAGCATTACAGTGTAAAAGGGGGATGAGGTGTTGGTTTGCCCTTGAGTGTCAAGAAGCCACCAAGAAGCCAAGACAAGTGGCCTAGCAAGTGGCCTAGGCACACATCCGTGTGCACACCTGCCTCTCAGGTCCTGGTTGCCTGGCCGTCCATCATCCATGCCACAGAGCAGAGCCTGCCCTGGACTGGGGGTGACATTTCAATCCCGTTCCTATGCCTGCGCCCCCTTCCAGGAAATAAAACCGATGCCAAACAGAAACACAAGGAAACTGCTCTATGTGGGGTGGGGAGGTGGCCTCGGGGGGGCCAGGTGGGAAGGGAACCAGGAAGGTCCTGACCACCGACATAAAGTGAAAACAGACCATTGCTGGGTCAAATCCTGGCACCTCCAGCCTGGGGCCAGCCAGTGAGATTCCGCGCGTATGTTTTACGTGTATTCCCACCTGCTTTGATCTTGCTCCCTCCCTGCCTTCAGACACCATCACAGCTGTGGTGAGCTCTTAAGCAGTCATTGTGAAGACAGCCAGAGAAAAACTGAGCAGCACACTGGTGTGCCAGGGCACGCACACTCACACATACTCACACGCACCCACACGTACCCAGAAGGCTGACAGAGGCGCAGACAACGCTAAGAAACAGAGACAAAGACAGACACCCACACAGAGGCAGAGGGAGAGCGAGGAGGGAAAGGAGACTAGAGTGAGAAGGGAAGAGGCGAGCTCACTGGGAAAGAGCCCAGGGTGGAAAAGACGCAGGCCGGCAGAAATCCAGAGAAAAAAGCACTAGGAGGAGCCAGTGAGACAAAGACACCCATGGAGTAATAGAGACCCAAGGCAAAGCAAGGGGGAAGGAAGACAGAGAGATGGAGACCAGGAGAAAGACAGAGGTGGGAGGGGAGATGGGGGCCCTAGCAGCACCCCATCTCCTGCCCCAGGGTTGGACACTCCATTTTTCTCACCAGGATAGGAAATTACAAGGAGGCCCAGCCAGGCTTTGCAGGCAGGTGGATAGCCTGATTAGGTGGAGATCAGAGCCTTGAGGGGTGAGAGGAGCACAGAGGGACACTGGGGAGAAATTAGGAGAGCAATAGGAAATTTGGCGTGGCAGCTCTGTGCTTCTTCCCCAGACGAGGAGAGGTGAGAGAAGAGAAAACCCCAGTCGTCCACCAGCTTCCTCTCTGCCTCTCTCTCAGACATCTGTCGTTTCAGGTTAGCCCACAACCCTCACCACCCGCACCCTATAGGGCAAAGCTCCTCTAGCCTCAGACTGGGAATCATTCCCTCTCTATTCTCCTACTGCATTGTTGGGACCTCTGGTTATAACATTTTATCACAGCCTGCCTTGGATTAAAAGTTACCCATATGTGTGTGTTTCTGTCTCCCCCACACTCCTGGGAGCCCCTGGATAACAGAGATGCTTTGACTTGCCTTCCTTGACTCTTCAACCCCAGCAATGTTCCTTAATAATAAACACTCCCAATTATAAGATGCCAACTGTGTGCCAGGCACTGAGGCGGATGCCTTGTAGTCATTGTTTCTGAGTAGTAATCCACTATTATTATCTCCATTTTATAGAAAAGGGAAATAAGGCTCAGGGTGCTTAAGGTACAGCTGTTAAGTGGCAGAGATGGGATGTGAACTCAGGTATTTTCTGTTACAGGGATATCCAGGATGTCTCTCCTGAATGGACGAGATTCCTGACCTCTACCCGGAAGAGAACTATCAGTGACCCCAAGTTCTGCCCATCTACCACTTCTGCTTCCTGCCCTACAGCTTAGACTCCCATCTTAACCCTGTTTACCTCCTGGGAGGCTGCACTCTTCAGGTCTGGGCTGGCCAGCACTCTGTAGCCACGCAGGACTTGCCCCACATGCTGCCAACAATATAGAAGGCTTGGTCTAGATGTTCCTATACAAAGGGAAGAGCGGTAGCCAAGGCTGGAATGACTGTCAACAGCATCCGGAGAGATTTTGGTGATTCATAAAGCACCAACCTTCAGGCCACCAGTGGCTACCAGCAGAAGTAGCCCCTGCTTATAAAGGGCCAATGACTGTTCTGTGCAGCTCACTGATCCACTGCCACTTTTATACACAAAAACCCAACGAGGTAGGCACAATTACTATCCTTAATAAAAAAAAGCTAAGGCTCAGGGACATTAAGAAACTTCCATCTAGTCACACAGCTAGTAAGTATCGGACAGAGAACACAGCGAGCAGCCAGACCACTGGCTTCCTTGGAATGCCATCTCAGCAGCCTGGCTACTGCTGTCTTCTCTTGGAACCTCCCAGGTCAGATTCAGGTCACTGTGCAAAACCAGTCCCCAGGGGCCTCTCCACCACCCCTTAATACTGTCCCCTCACCCGGAGCACTCTGCCTCTTAACACTGATCTTCCCGGGGCAACTATCCCTGTTCTCCAGCTCCCTGCTCCATCCTCATCACAGCACTGGGGGCCAGAGCCAGGCCAGTCTCTGTGTGTGAACACACTTCCTGCTTCTGTAAAGACCTGGGAGGACAATGAGGTCGATCCCATTTTTGATGAAGAACTAGGAATTGACCTCTAAATCTATCCTAGAGAGGCTGGAAATGCTTAGATCCACTCACATACACACACACACACACACACGCACACATACACACCATACACTTCTTATAGGGACACATGTACTATAACACACAAGCACACGCATTTACCAGCAAGCACATGCGCAAACACACCCCTCCCACATTCAAGTACTTGTCTCTGCACCCATGGATGCCCGTCTGCTTCCGTGTCTCTGCACACGTGCCCTGATGGTCATGTTCCCAGAGCCTGGGCTGCCAGGCCAGCCCGGAACCAGAGAGGGAATGGGGCCAAGCACATGAGATGCCAGGGGACCAGGCGGCAGAAGAGGGGGGTGGTGGAGGACAGGCCCTGTCTCCCCGGATTTATCAAACGAGCAGTAATGAACCCCCTGGGCCAGAGCAGTCCCCACGCTCTCCACTCCAGATCGTGCTGCTGGTTCAAAGGGAAGCCTTTGATTCGCACCGACAGCTTTCAGATGGAACTAAATCTCTCCACACTCCACTCTCCCTCCCTCTCTGCTCTCACATCTTGGCTCTCTCCACCCCCACCGGACTCTTTTCCCCCCTACCCCAGTCATTCCCTTCTCACTCTATGAAAAATACAACAGCCAGAGAGGTCCCCTCACATTGAGTTCCCTCATAAAAAAAGAGGATTTCAATTCTCTAGACTGGGCCGCCGAAAGGGGAAGGAGAGAAGAAAGGAGAGATTGGCACTTCTGATAGAGGAGGAGAGAAGGCAAGAAGGAGAGAGGAAGGGAGGGGAGTGCTGGGCTGGGGCTGGGCAGGGTGAGGACAGGCCCAGAGGAAGAAACTTGGCAAGGGTCACGGAGGCAGGAGAGGCTCCCCACAGTAAAGCTCTGTGCCTGCCCAGCTACTGTACATGAGGGGTCTGGGTCTGTTGATTTTGCCTTATACACAGCCCAGCCTGGAATCCTAAAATGTCAAATTTTGATGTGATGACTTTAGAGACTCTTAACCACCTCCTTTGACAGATGAGGCATCAGAGGTCAGAAAACTCCATTGCCTTGCTCTCAATGGATAATCTCAGAGGAATGACTATGCGTAGATGTCAGGTGATATGGGCATCAGACGAAGACAGGGAAATGACAAACGGCATTCCCCAAAGACAAGTTTCCAAACATTTAAGGACTATTATCACCTCCTCTCTCTGCCACCAAAGCGCTCTGGCTTCATTTCACAGTTTGCAGTGAAAAAGACACTGAGCAGTAGGAGCCTCAAATGCCCAGACTGGATCCACCTTTACTGTCTTCCCACTGCTGGTCCTTTCTCATCCCAGGAAGCCGAAGCCATGGGCAGAAGAATCAATCTCTCCTCCCTCACCCAAAGCAGCTTGGCCACCGCCTCCCTGATGTCCATCTCTAAGGCTGGGGGTATGGTAGGGACAGCCATAGGGGAATCTTTCCAGGGACCAGATGGGATTTTACAAGTGGCCATGGTCTGGCCTGGTTTCCTTGCATCTGAGCAGACCACAGAGGCCAGCTGCAGCGGCTGGCTGGAGGGGCTGGCGGGTGCTCATAGTGACAGGGCAAGAAAGTTTACTGTTCTGGGCCCATGGAGTAGTCACCCCAAGAGGCAGGAACAGAGCCCTGAAAAATGCAAGAGGGATCAGCTCAGCACAGCCCTGCCAGGAAGGGACAAAAGTACTCTAAGCCAGAAGTTAGGAGATGTGGGCTTGTCTGGTCCTGGCTCTGCCACCAACTTGCTGTTTGACTTGGAGAGGTCATTTCACTTATCTGAGTCTCAGACTCCTTAGCCTGTAAAAGGGAGGAGAAGATTCACTTGGCCCCCAAGAATCTTCCCATCTCTAATGTCCTCAGATCGCACCCTGGCCTCCTGCTGTCCTGGGGCCTCGGTCAAACCTTGAGGACACTTAAGGACTCAGCACCAACTGCTGGGAGGAACTAGTGTACCTGGGCCCATCTTGGCATTCCCTGGGGCGTTTCCTCCCTCATCCTACAGGGACGTGGAGGGAGGTCTGTAGGTTTGTGTCACTAAGACAGAGGCTGAGGACCCAGATGAGGTATCCAGCATAGGAAAAGAGAGGCCGTCCTTTCTTTTCTCATTAGAAGCTCCCATCAGATTTTCTCACATCCCTTCCAATAGGCTCATGGTGGTGCATAGAGGATAGAGGTCAGGCAGGCTGGGGTCCCTGAAGCGACCTGCGAGCCCACACCCACTCACAGGACTTTGAGCTCTACATGGAAAAGGCTGGCAGTGGTGGCTGGAAACACTCCCACCTGCCCTATTTGAACCTCCAGCTCAGGGCACCTGGGCCAGACCTAGTAGGGCGGCTCTATGCAAATGTGTCCTGGCAGGGGCTCCTGAGAATGTTTTAGGGGATGGACAATGGCATGGGGAGCCTAAATGTGTTGGCTATAGCAGATACGACTGACAGGTGGGAGTAGAAAGGGGGTGGCAGGGCTGGTGGATGGTTCTGCGAAAACCTGAATTTCAATCTGGCTTTAGTGGGCAAGGAAATGGAGGTGGGGGAGACAGGAGGCAGGTGGCAGGCAGGGACTTAGTTCAGATAGGAGGCTAAGAGGAAGAAGAGCAAAAGACAGAGCGGGAAGGAGGCAAGAGTGCAGAAACTAGGCCAGGGCCAGGGAAGGCTGCAAGAGACGGAGAAAGGCATCAGAAGCTGGGGTGGGAAAGCAGAAAGAGAAGGGGAGCCTCCCCATCCAGGCCCTGCACCTGCCTCCCCGACCTACAGGAGCACATGGAGGCAGGGTCCAAGACTTGGATTTCCAGCAATCCCCAGGGTCCACACAGTGGGAGGGAAGGAACCCAAGACACAGGACATTGAAGGAGATGCCTCAATGTGCAAAGGCAGACTGGGAAGAGAAAAAGGATGAGAAGAAAGAGTCATAGGCAGAAATAGAGAGCAAAGGAAATAAAAGAGAAAGCTAGTTGTGGGAAAAGTAAGCAAGAGGCTGTTAAAGATGGTTTTAAGGTCAGGTAAGGAAGAAAGGTGCTAAGAGGACACTACGGTATGAAAGAAACAGAGGACAGGACAGAGAGACAAGCAAGGGGAAGAGAAGAGAACTGAATTAGAATGATGACTGGAGGTGGATGGGAAAGGCCTTGATGGTCACCACTCCAACATTCTTTATTTTGAAGGAGCTGAGGGTCAGTGAGGGAGGGAGGTATGTGGGGTGGGCATGTCTCCAAATTCCTGGTGGCTTTGGCACTAGCCTCACAATGACAGAGGGCTCCTCTCTAGAGGCAGGGCACACCCCAAAGCCTACTCTTCCTGCCCTGATGGTGAGGCAAGAAGAGGCTCTTCCTGGAAACCCTCCTTCACTGAAAAGAAAAAAAAAGGTGATGAGAGAGGAGTTAGAGAAGAGAAGGTTGGGAAATTTGATTAAAAATGAGAAGTGAGAATCAAGAGAAAAAGTAAGGAGACCATCTGGGAGAGGAAAATGAGAATGAAGGTAAGAAGGACAGAAGAGCAAGAGAGAAGAAACTGGAGAAGGCTGAGGGGAAAGAGTGCGGGTGGCAGAGGCAGTGGGGTCCCACAGGCAGAAATCCGGGTTGCGATTCCCACCCTCTGGCCCCATCTGAAGGTCTTCAGCTTCCAGGTCAAAGAAAAGGAGGAAAGTCCTTGGGAAATGGAAGGGAGCTTTGAAAGGATTAGCCAAGGAGGGAGAGAAGAGAATGAGGTGGGCAATATATGAGGTAGCACAGAAGGCAACAGAGGACAGGGCCTTTGTGTCTCCCCACAAACCAAGACTGGCTCACAGCTCACCTCCCTCGCACAGGCGTCCTCAAGGGGCTCTCTAACCTCACCCTCTTAGAAGAGAGGTCAATCAGTTACTCCTTCATCTCCTGCCACCTTGCCTTCTCCTGGGCGGGCACAAAATTTTTCCTGGGGTCTAACCCCATTCCCTTCTTTTATGTAAAATCCATCCCCTCTGGGCATGACACCTCCCTACAGGCTCCATAATTAAGGAAAGTGTAAGTTCTGCTCTGAAAACCTCCCACTGCTTGCTTCAGCATTCTCAGTTACCACTGCTACCAACAGAGCTTCTAAGCACAATCTGAGAAGAGTCAGAATGGTGCCTGGGTCCCCGCAACAGACTGGAAGCCCAGGAAGAAATGCAGGCTGGTCCCAGACCCTCTCTAGAGGTCTTCTGGCACTTTTAGGAACAGTCTCCTGAATAAACAGCCTTGACTCAGAAATCCACAAAGGGTTGGGCAACAGTAAGGAGGGCATTCTCTCCTTGACCCTGAAACCAAAAGAACTGGAAGTAAATCCAGATCTTCTGATACCAGGCAAGCGCTCTGAAGGACATCTCTCTGTTTCTAATTTTAACAAGCTTTATTACATTTCTATGCCCCCTCACCTCCCACCCCCCAACTCTTGTCCCTCTTTCTCGCCTCAAAATTAAAAAAAAAAAAAAAAAAAGACCAGCAGGTTTAGGTATTAGACATTATTCTCCTTCCAGAGGCTAGAACCCATTGCCACAGATGACTTGTAGATTTCTCTAGCATTTCCAGATGGACCATCTGAGTCTACGAGCCAGGTAAGCAACTAATACGGGAAGGTGCGGGGCTCTGATGAATGCTCTA